CAGGCAGGAAGGGTCAGGCTGTGTGGTGGGGACTGATGCTTTTCTCTACAGAGTTCACGCCCCTCTTTGCTCCATTGGAGAAATGAATGAACCCTCTTCGCTCTCAGGCCATGTGGTTTGAATGGGGCTGAAAGTGTCAAGGTAGGCGTGTGGCCCAGGCTCAAGCCAGTAGGCCCATCCCAAACTGCTGGCCACAGGGATTGGCTCAAGGGTGGGTACTGGAGCCAACGTGGCCAATGAGAGTCAGGATTGGGGACGAGGTGGAGCTGTTACAGTGAAAATGTGTGTGTGTGTGTGTGTGTGTGTGTGTGTGTGTGTTAGTTTTCCCAGGGTTATTCCAGAGGATGTAGTAGAGTCACTGGGAGCCATTTTGTCAATTTGAAGAGAAAGCTTGCCCAAGGAGGATGCCAGGGGTAGCAGAGCCCAGCAATGGCTGCCAACTGGACTCTGATCAAATCTCTGAGACCAGGGCCAATCCTGGGCTTCTCAGTGATGGGGACCAGGAAGTGTTTTCATGTGAGTCAGGCTTCTGTGATTCCCAACCAACCATTCTGACAGACAGATCCACAGAGGGATGACAGTGCAGACAGGCAGCGTGGGCTGCTTGGCTTTGGATTAGAAAATAGCACTGGGTCTCTTTCATCCTCCAAGGAGCCTGGTGGCAAAGTGGATGCTGCTTCTCAGAAGAAAGATGAGGCTGGCTGCTCCCAGAAAGATTTACAGCTTCGGACACCCACGGGGGCAGTCCTACTCTGTGCTCTGGGATCGCTATGAGTCAGAACCGACTCATTCATTCACTGTTCACTCTCTCACTCAACATCGGCTGTCTTGCATTGACAAACACCTTCTGATTTTTGCCTTCTTAGTGGTTCACTGGAGTCTCTGGGTGGTGCCAACAGCGATGCGCTCGGTTACTGACAGAAAGGAAGACCAAGAGACCCGCTTCTGCAAGGTCACAGCCATGACACGCCTGGCGAGCACCATTCTACCCTGGCACCATGTGCTCACCATGTGTTGGTGTCTACTGAGTGTCAAATACTGACGGGGAGTTCCCATCCATCTGCGCAAGTCTGTTCCACGCTCTTTATTCATTATGCCATTAACAATGTGGGTCCTGCTGTAGAACCCACATTCCCACCAGCGAACGTCTCAGAGTCCAGGGCTTTCATATTAGAAGTACCACGAGCGGGTGACTTTTAGAAACAGAAGTGTATTTTCTCACAGTTCAGGAGGCCTGGATTCAGGACACTGGCTTTGGGGAAGGCTTTCTCTGTCAGCGTGGTGGGGGGAATCCGTCCTCCGCCCCCATTTCGCTTACTTGTTTCTGTATTTCACCTGCTCTTTTGAGGTCTCAAAAGTGATTGCCTTAAAATACACCCTACTCTGCCACGGCCTCATTAGCACCATACGGAAAACCCTATTCCCAGATGGAATTGCACCACAGATACAGGGGTAGGATTCACATGTAACGGGGTCAGGGCACAATTCGGTCCACACTGACAGAGCGTGCGGCTGCATTTCTGAGGCCCACGGCTGAAGGCGGCCATTGGGCTTGGCTTCCATCATGCTGAGCGGAAGCTCTCTTACTCCTGTTACTCAGGTCTCCTCAGAATCATCAATTATTAATTCCTGCCTTGACCTGGCCGATCACAGATACCTCTTGTCATTCTGATTTCTTTAGTCCCTGGGCTTCATCAGCTAGACGGATGACAGTCAGACAGCTGGTGCCTTTCTTCACCGGCCTGGCTTCTGCCCTGGCTTCTTGGTCACGCTGGCTTCCTGTCTTGTGAACACTTATCATTACACTCTGCCAGGGCAATCGCACTGCACCCCAACGCAGACCAACTCGGGACCCCAGCTCGAAATGACGCTTCTCTTCTTGCCAAAGAAGCAACTTCAACACACAACGAAGCCCACTCACGCCAGGCTTTTTCTCCATCCTCCTTCCTCCCTCTCTCCCCACAACATTGCTGATGTTACCCTCCATCGTGTCTCAGGTCTCTCATGGCAACGTGAGCTCGCTGCCCAGCCTGGGGGTGCTAATCAGCCATCTAGGGGTACCTGGCACATTCTTGCCCCCGGAACCTCTCCTCTTCTCCATTCCTCCTGCTCTCCGCTGCTTAGCTGGCATTAAAACCTAACTCAAATTCTCCTCTCCGGGTTGATGGACTCCTAAGACACTCACTGGCAATATCACTTAGGTGGCATTCAGTTACACACTCACTTTCATCGTAACTTCACCTGGCAAGCCCGAGTCTTTTCAAATAGATTGCAAGTTACTTAGGGGGCAAGTACGGTATTCTTTTACTCCTATGGGTGACCCAGAGCCCAGGACTGTAAGTGCTGGCTGATATACCCATGGCTAGGTCATTTTCACCACCAGCCCAGCCCCAGAGGGGGTAGCTCACAAGGAATGGGGAAATTAGAGTCACTCCTGCTTGGATCCATAGACCCTAACTGTTTACCTAAACCCAGAAAATGAAAATGACTGTGAGAGGTTTTCAGATAGTCAGATGTTTATTATCGCTGAGAGAGATGGCCTCTCATACACGCTTTTTATGACAAAGGACTTCTTGTCCTTTTTACTGGTTGTTCTTCATTATTGCTGAAAAATTCCCAGCTCAGACTCAGAAAAACAAACAAATACAGAGATTGAAATCCCTTAGACTTGGTGATGAGAGGGGGATAACATGGTCGAGTTTTAGGCAGCTAATTTTGGCCACCCAGCTCTAGTAGAGACACTTTGGAATGGAATGGGGCTGGCTGGTATTTCTCTGTCTCTTTAAGTTCTCGCTCAGGGTGGGATGTTGCTCATCCACCTCAGGGCACCGAGGGGTTATTTCGCCCTGAGAAATCCTGGCAGTCACAAATGAGGGACATGAGATACCAGAGCACACAGGGCTCCCAGGGGAGCCTGACTAGCTGGAAGGAGCAGGCAGACTGCACACCCATTGCCACCATCCTGCGATTTCAAGAGCACAAGGCTTCAGCAACTATACTGGGACTAGCCTATGCAAGTAACTACTGACGTCAGAGCAGGGAGAGAAAACGTGCTTCTCCCTGATCATCAGTTGTGAACGGCTGGGAACTGCTGAGTGAAGAAGTCTCTCTTGAAAGTGTTGAACAATGAACTACAGGGAAAGATGGTAGCTACCTGCCATCTTGTATTTGCCAATTCTAAATCAGTATTCGGATAAGCCCAGACCACCCGCACCTGTTGGGCCTTCAAGGCCCCATGTGCGCACCCCTAGAGCCTCACATCTTGATTCATTGCTTAGGTCTGTGCCACGTGCTTGTGACTGCAGGCTGCCCCTGATCATGGAGCGCTGCCTCGATATCTCCCTAGAGAGGGAGGGTGAACCTCCGCCGTGCTTAGTCAATGCAGTGGGAGCTGAGTCCTAACGATGCTAAAATGGAATTTCAAGTCAAAGGGCAGGACTAAGAAAACTGCGGCTCCTGGGCCGTCCTCAGGATGAAGGAGGAAGCACAGTCCTTCCCCTGTCCCTGTGCTCTGTGGCCCCTGGAGAGGGGACAGGCCAGTGGGCTCACTGGCTCCTGGAGGTGGGTGCAGAGCAGGGTCAGAGCAGAGCTGCGTCCGCAGAGCCCTCGGGGGCCCTGGGCAGGAAACAGGCTTTGGAAAGGCTTTCATGGCCTGCCAGGCCAGGAATTCCTCTGGGAGGAATCTGCTACATGTGTGTGTGAGCTTTGGGCTGGGAGGGCGGGTGGCGCCTGGAAACCTTGTGGGTGGAAAAGGGCAGTCTGCTGTTAAGTGCGACGGCAGATGCCTCTCTTCCTCCGTGTAACAGAGTTCTCATTTTGTCCGAGCGTTGGAGAACCTCGCCACTAGTCAGAGAGCCAGACCTTGTTCATTCTCTGCTTCACCGTGAATGGCTTACGAATGGACACACGATACAATTCTCTCTAATAAGCTGCAAAGGGAAGTCTGTTGGAGGCTTTTGAGAAAGGTTTTATTTACTCATTCCTAAAAATGAATAAAATGTTTTATTCCCCCCCCCCCCCCCCCATTGGAGTGAAGCTGTCTTTTCCCCCTCCCTCTGTTGGGTGTTGCTGTATGTGGATATGGTGCTTAGAACCATGGCAGCTATTTTGTATTCATGGGGCAACACGGCTGGGGATATATTGAGGGTGGCAGCGTTGGAAGAGAGAGAGAACCATGATTTCTGATGAGCCCTGAAATAACTAATTCTGGAAATTCTATTCTCTCTTTCTGTGTGTTACACACACACACACACACACACACACCACATTTTACCAGGTTTTCCGTGATAGTGTTTTACATTGTAACCTTTCTGAAAGGAGGATGCATCTCTCAGGTCCATGGTTGTTAAACTGGCAGCATTGCCCCCTTTTCCTTGTGGAACTTAACAGGAGTGGGTGTTTCACAAGGAGCAGCATTTAAGATGTGATGAAAGGTGGGATGTCTCCATTGTCAGGCACCTGTTATGGGTCTTCCATTTCTTTTCTCAAGACCTATTCCACCCGAGAGGGATCTCCTTACAGTGTGTGCTCTGGGGCAAGAGCGCTGGGGCAGGAAGACACAGCCTGGGCAGCCTTTCATGGGAAGACCACCGAATGTAACTCTGAGGTGTGGCCGCCTCACTCTGGTTTTAATGCTTTGGAAATGAGTTCCGGTTGCATTTCCTCTGGATTTCTTTCCTTGAAGTGGCTGAGAGACATACCCCTCTCCTACCCAACACACACACACACACACACACACACACACACACCTCCCCCACCTTGGTTTTCTTTGATGTTGAAGAGAAGGGGGATGAGCCAGGTGTGGCCTGGGTCCTCTCTGCACATCTGGGAAGGCTAGGTGGAGGGTTGCAGGGCTCAGGTTTCAGCCCCTGTCCACCTCTCTCCTGCTCCCCTGTCCCTTCCCTCCCACAGAGTCAGAGTACAGGCCATGCTCTGAGCCCCACTTCCTTCTGGGCCAGCCCTGTCCTGAGGTCAGGCTGAGGGAGGTGGAAGTCACTCACCCACGTAGAAATACTCTGGGGACTTGTCTTCTGGTGATAAGTCCTTCAGGGTGCCTCCAAACCGGAACCACAGTCCAAACGCAATGACCGCGGAGCCCGCCAGCTGAAAGGGAAAGACACTGCGTTGATAAGGGAGGGACGCACACACCTCTGGGGGCAGGCGGGGCCACAAGGGGATCAGAGGCTGCCCTAGAGGACCCTTAGCCCACTGCGCTTCACATTTTACAGGGAGTCCTAGACCCTCAGGGCTCTGCAGTCACAAAGGACAGGGGCTTCCTGACTCCAATCCCAGGTTGTTTTTTCCCATTCTGCCAGGCTGCCTGTGGTTCTGGAAGGCTTCTGGAAAGGAATGTTCCAGGAACACTGCTCTTGGAAGGCGGCTGTCCCCTGCCTGCCTTGCTGTCTCTTGCTGGGCAGTGGGGACCATCTGGAGTTCCTGGGTGGCACAGATGGTTAAACGCTCCACTCTCAGGCCAAAGGGTTCAGACAGACATGTCCAGGGGTGGAGTGGGTACCACTTGTGCCCAGGGTGCCACTTTAGGTGTGTGTGCAGTGGGGGAGGGGGTGTCAAGGAGCGGTTTCTATTGGCTATTGCCTTTCCCAAGGGCAGCGGGGTGTCATCCGCAATTTAAATACAATCCTCAGAGGTGCTCTTTTCGGTAATCTCAACCCACTTAGAGGCACCTACTTGGTAACCTTCCGAAAGGTCCCAACCTTGAAAACTCTAAGAGCACAGTTGTGCTGCGCACCCACAGGTGGCCCTCGGTGGGAATCCATGGGACACGGGCTGCGCCAGCTGCCAGAGCTCTCGAGGACTCAGAGGAACCCACTTCCCGCATTCAGAAGCACCCCCCCCCCACCCCCGAGGGGGCAGGCCCCAATCAGAAAACTTTTTTAGAGTCCAAACCGGCTAGGCCAGCTTCGTACCCTCCTCCCCTGGCTCCTCCATGCCCACCACCCTGCCTGTGCCCGAGTTGTTAGGGAGGGAGGCTGGCTGGGTTTTCTTTTTCTTTTTTCCTATTTTGAGTTTCCATGGAAAATGAGAAAAGGAAAAAATTTCCCCCCTTTCTGGAAAAGCGAGGTCTGCGCCCTGTGTGGCTCCGTGAGGGGCCGAGGGCAGACGCAGGCATCGCCCGGCAGGCTGGGGCTGCAAGAGTCACCCCCTGCGCCCCGCTTGCTCCGAGGGCTTTTGTGGGGCCAGCCCCGGAGCTGGAACCTTTTTGTGCCTCATGCCCGCCACCACAGCCCACCAGCAGGCTCCTGCCTCTGCGCCCATCACCAACGCCCCTCGGGAAACCCACTGCATCCATCAGTCATCGGCAGATCTCCACCGACCCCAACCGGGCTCTCTCTGTGCCCGAGGCCCTGTGTGTGCGGTGACCGCTCCGCTGCCCCCGCCTCTTTTCAGACAGACAATCTGGGGGCTGAGAGTGTCAAATCAGGCTTTTAACCTGAAATCCTCCTTTTGTTGTGTGGGGCTCGGCTCCACCCTGGGAGACCATGGGGCTGGATTTGTAGGGCTGCTTTTCTCCCCAAAGACCAGCTTGTCTGTGGCTGGCTTCTTCAGAAACGCAGGACTTCAGTGAGGAGCAGTCGGGGCTCCAAGTACCACCAGCTGGACTAGCTAATATGGAATATCTAACATTTTCCAGTACTTAGAGGCGAGCACTAATTGGATAATGTGAGGGGCAGCTACAAGAACTGGGCTCAACCAACTTTTATTTTTAAAGAGTTTTGCCTTTTTGAAAACGGGCAGCCTGGCATGGAAAACATTGGAAGGACTCATGCTACAATGTTACCAATATTTCAGCTTCGCAGGGTGGGGCTACAGGTGACATCTTTTTTCCTTTGCACCATACTTTCCAAGTTTTTATGAATTATTTCTCCTGTGACTAAAAAAATATGTCGCCATATCTACAATTGGAATCCCTCAAATGAAGAAAGGTTAAAGCATGAAAAAATTTGACAATATATCAGTCAAAAGCTTCCCAAGTAGGGTTCCCAAAACACTACTTTACAAATCTAAGAAGCTCATCACACCATAAGCAGACTGAATAAAAAAAGAATCACATTGTTCACCTTCCTGACACGATTGCTGAAGACAAAGCAGGTGCATAAGCAAATGTGGTGAAGAAAGCTGACGGTGCCCGGCTATCAAAAGATATAGCATCTGGGGTCTTAAGGGCTTGAAGATAAACAAGTGGCCATCTAGCTCAGAAGCAACAAAGCCCACATGGAAGAAGCACACCAGCCTGTGTGATCCTGAGGTGTCGATGGGATCAGGTTATCAGGCATCTGAGACTCAGAACAAAATCATACCCAATGTGAATGGGGGGAAGTGGGGGATGGAGTGGAGACCCAATGCCCATTTGTAGACAATTGGACATCTCCTCACAGAGGGGTCACAGGGAAGAGATGAGCCAGTCAGGGTGCAGTGTAGCACCGATGAAACACACAACTTTCCTCTAGTTCTCTGGTGCTTCCTTCCCCCCACTATCATGACCTCAATTCTACCTTACAAATCAGATTAGACCAGAGCATGCACACTGCTACAGATAAGAGCCTGCAACACAGGGAATCCAGGATAGATAAACCCCTCTGGGCCAAGAAGGAGAGTAGAGATACCAGGAGGATGAAGGGAGGGTGGGGAAAGAAAGGGGGAATCGATCACAGGGATCAATTTAGAACCCCCTTTCAGGGGGACAAATAGCAGAAAAGTGGGTGAGGGGTGACGGATGATTTTAGATATGGAAAAAATAATCTATAACTTATCAAGGGGTCATGAGGGAGAGTGAGGGGGGGGAAGAAATGGGGAGCTGATATCAGGGGCTGAACTGGGAAGAAAATGCTTTGAAATTGATGCTGGCAGCATATGTGCAAATGTGCTTGACACACTGGATGAACGTATGGATTGTGATAAGAGATGTGAAAGCCCCCAATAAAAGTATTTGCAAAAAAAAATGTTGTCTTCAAAAAACTTATGACATGCAAACTCAAAAACCAACTCACTGTCATCCTGTTGATTCTAACTCACAGCGACCCTACAGAACCCGCAGCCCGGCTGGTGGTTTAGAACCGTTGACCTTGTGGTTAGCAGCCCAGCTCACATATGTTCAATTCAGAAAAAGTGACAAGTCTTTTTCCTGGCAAGGCTTCAGTTGGGAGGGAGCCCGGCTTGCAGGTCCCTCTGGGGCAGGCCAGAATGATGCCCTCGGGAAGCCCCATCCTCAGAGCACCCAGAAGCTGCTTGAGCCAGTGCTGCCTGGCCTTGTCTCTGTAGCAACTCGATGGAAAGGCAGTTTCCAAACACGAAGCAGAACCTATTGACAGAGGCATCAGGCCAAAGACTGCGAGCCACCAAGTAGACAGTGGAGGAGGTGGCCGGACCCAGGGACACCCCACCACCAGGCCACATTTTTGGAATCTCTGTACACAAACTCTAATTTACAGCGGTCTGGGAACATCCTCCCAGACGGAATACATTTGTCCAGTTCTGGCACAGATGTGCTTGATGCATAATGGAAAATAAAAAGAGAGGTTGCAATTTAAAGCCACTGGGCAAAGAGGGGAAAAAAAAAAAAAGCTGTGATTGCTCATCCACACCCCGAGCCCAAACCACACGGGTTTCCTTCTGGGTCAAGGAAACTAACTGGCTTAGCTGAATGTCATCACTGTGTGCAGGGGAATCCTCCCAGCTGGCGTGCTGCTGCTCCCTGTGGCAGGGCCTCTGTGGGCGAAGACCTGGCCAGAGGAGGCACTGCTTTGTAAAGCGGCATCAAGAGCGACCATTTAGCCTCTGGGCCCCCTTTAAAGGCATCCTTCCTATAAGGCTCACGGAATACTCTCTGCTTACTGGACTTCAGTTCATCAGACTAGAAGTTGCTTGATAAAAGTTGGGAGGCAGGAAGGGAGAAAGAAATTATTTGAAAAAACTCGCACGGACTCCATTCGAGCCAGGAACAAAGTGAGCAAGTGTCTTGTGCCGTCAGCTCTCACTACTCCCTGCTTCCTCCACAGGGGAGAGATGGTGCTTTCCTAGAATGGATGGGGAGAAGCCTCCCAGCCCTTGTAATTCCAAATTGCAACGCTGACCTGTTGCTTAGGACTCATGATTCCAATCAGGATGACCCTCGTGTGTGTCAGTGTAGAGCTGGGCTCCAGAGGGGTTTTGTTATTTCTGTTCGGGTTTTTAAAAATGTCCTTGTCGTTGACAACCTACACAGCAAAACGTACGGTAATTCAACCATCTCTCCACGTGCCACTGAGTGACGTGGCGCCACGCAAAGACTGTTCTTTGGGATTTGGAGACTGCAGCTCTTCATCGGAGTAGAAAGCCCCTTTCTCTGGTAGAGTGGTTGGTGGCTTCAAACTGCTAACCTTGCGATTGAGGCCCAGTGTGTAGCTACTATGCTACCAGGGAAGGACTAGAGGAGGAGAGACTCCCAGGCAGAGGAAATAGCAGGACTCTGGAGGAAACAGCAGTCAGGGGGATGGAAGGCAAGCTTGGGTCGGCGAAGACTCAGGGTTTCCACTTGGCTGCCGCCATCTTGGAAAGCCCATGGCAGGCTTTTGAGAAAGGGGGAGATGGGAGCCACAGTTTAATGGGAATGATCAGGCACATGAGTGTTGCCTGGATGCCAGACACAGAGGGGGAGACAAAAATAAAGACATTGAGTGGCTGAGGACCAAAGAGCAAACACTCAGGTGTGGATGTGATGAGAGGCGAGGCTCACTATCAGATTTTGCTAAGCACCCGCCCGGCTTCCAGGAGCAGTACCAGTGCCCAGGCCTGTGGAACCATAATCTTTATAAAAAGGGAGGTTTTTCTTTCATGCAACCTCATGAGTTGGGCTTCGATGTTCATCCTGTGCACCAGGAGCCACAGATTCAGAGATGAGGACAATGCGGTTCCTGCTCCTGAGAAAATTCAGGGGATCATGGAGAGGCTCACCCCCCACCGGGCAGTCCCAGAGAGACTGCAACTCTGCAGGGAGAAGTCCGTCACCGAACCAGCCCCCTTGAGGGCACCGGAGAAAGGCCTGGCATCGTTGTTCACTGTCTGAGAAGCACCTTTGAATGAGGCGCTGAGAGAGGGTGAGGAAA